CAAAAGTATTAATTGGGACACTCAGGTCAGCTTGAAATGCAGGGCACATGTTAGTTGAATGACCCGAGGCATAACAAATTTTACAGGTCGCAACAGTCAATTTTTTTACATAAGAGGTATCTAAATGTTGATCAATAGAAAAAATATGAATCCCATTACTCCTTCTAGGAATAAAATATAATCTATCACCAAAATACGAAATGTTAGTAGTCGCAAACTAGTCAAAAAAAGAGAAAAATAAAAAATAAAAAAAAGATGAATTCAAAAAAAGAAACAAATTAATCAGGCACCAATTTTCGACAACGGCGCAAAAAATTGACAAGTGTTGAGTTTGTGTAATAATAAATAACTACTCAAAAAAAATACAATTTTTGTATATAGCGGTGAGTAAGGTCGAATCTACAAGAATTAGAAAAAATTCGTTTCTTCTAGAGTTCAGAGTCTTAGGGGGATTTTTATAAAAATGAAAACAATTAAACAACTCAAATAAAATAAATAAGTAAACTAAATTAAATGACAATTTATTAGAATTGAATCAATAATAAATATCTCTAACCAAGAAATAATTTCAAAAATGGTTCACTTAATTGATCATCGATGTAATGATAATTTCATTTATTCACTGATAAACAAGTTATAATTGCCAAACATGTGATGACAATTAACGCCTCCTTATTGTATTCGTGGTCAATGTACGACCGTTAACCACTATCCTAATCAAGAAATAACTCTAAGTACGGTCTTAGAGTTCAATTTTTTAACTACCTTAAGAACTAGAGAAGTCTTGTTCTAACCAAACAACACACTATGAGAGTTATTTTAAATTAACCCATATGTTCTCCTGACACAAATCCAGTTATGTTAGTTACTACTAATTTAAAGCAATTAAACAATTACGAATTTAATTATTCTAACTGATTTTAGGTTATTAGATTAATTTAAATACCGGGCCCTTGATATTCAAATAACATAATAACCATAAAAATTAAATCAGAGAACATATGAATACCAATAAATAAAAGAAATAAATATAATCAATTCGATTTCATAATTTTAGATGAACCAAATCCTCCATTACTCCTTGACTAGAAATAAAAATTTAGTTCATCATCATGAAGAAAGTCATGCGCGAAATAGTTGAATTAGTTGCCGAAAGCATTCCTCTAGAATACGATGAAGAACCGAATAAGAAGAAAAGAAAAGTTACGTACTGCTACTCCTAGTAGTCTCCTGCTCGGAGGAAAAGAAAAGATAAGGCAAAATGCCTTTCTGGTCTTGTTTCCTACTATTAGTAGACTATTTTTACTTAGCCAAATCAAATTATAACAAATCTCATCCCATCCAAAAAGAAAGAAAGCGTCTCAATAAACAAAGTAGCCAGCGTCCTAGTAGAAATCAAATACTATTCATCTGATGAAACATCCTACTCTTGTAATTTCAATTCGAATTTTGGAGATTACATGCCAAATTCCGAGTTCCCAGACATACAAAATTAGATATTGATGCGCCCACGCTAAATAGCATAAAAATTCAGTGAAAATCACGTCTTTAATCCCTTTTTGTTTCAAATCCCTACAACTAACACTAATTGCAAAAAATAAGTAGAATCTACCAATTAACACAATATTTGATAATATAAAAGAGGAAACATTTATAAAATTAATAACAAAAATATAACCTATCATTGATTGTAGAAGCCCCTTAACTTTCACCTATTAATAGTATGGCTTCTCTTGGAGACCCTCCAAAGTCTATCCACGTTTTTCACGAGAACCTTAACAATTGGTCAATATGCATGGTGGTCTTGATAATCATTGCATGATTGTATCAACAATCATCATTGCTGATATCCCACCGTCTTGAGTGGAGGATCAATATCAATATTGATTTTCTTGGCTTGTACGTGGCGACTGGTGATAAGTGCGGCCTTTTATATATACACCACCCAAAAGCAGCAAAAAAGTGAGCTAAGCTTTAATCAAATTGTCCGCCGGATAGATGTTATAGTTATACTAATGGCGTTGCTTATGTTCTATAATGTTGAAGTTGAAAGCCATTATTAGTAGTAGCAAAATTTTTCAAAAATATCCCAAAAACAGCTAATCCAAACGGAGCCAAATGAGTCTCCATTAGTGCTCAAATTTCCATGGATTTAAGAAGCACACTAGCAGGTTGGAAGAAACAATACATATTTGGTGGAGTTGGGCATTCCTCTTTCGGTCTAGCTGCATAAAGGTGTAACTTTTGTCTAGTCATCGATTTCTAGTAGACCATTCATACTATGTGAACGCATTTTGTCCCCTCATTGTAGTAATTAGGGGCATGCACATGCCCCTTCCATTGTGTAATCTTACTTTTGATCTTAATTAAACTATGGTGTTTACAAAATTTAAAATAAAAAAAAATAGAAGACCAATAATACTAAGTATTTTTCTAACGTCAAATATATATATATATATATCCTTATATTATATAAGAACGAGTTTAGGACTAGATTTCAACCGCAGAGTGAGGCTATTTTGGGAATGTGAGGGTGTTTGAAAAGTTATTGAAACATTGAGTACAAGTCATTATAACTTTAATTTCACTATAATTACTTATATAACCTTTCAGACATTTAAGGTTAGGGGCAGGTTTGATATGTTACAATGTTTGATACCAAGTTGAGTATCAAGTACAACTGAATAAAACTTGTATTTGATAGAATTACATAAAAGTCCTTTTAATCATTTGTTATACTAACATCCAAGCCTTCCAATTTCCTGAAACCTTTCTCATCCGTTAAGGAATTAATTGGATGTTTACATAATTGGATTTTAATTACAATTAATTAACTTAATTATTATCTGAACAATCAATTATCATATTTATGTCCCCATGTTTAGCCATACCCTTTCTTCTTTTTCGGTTTCACCTCTTTGATTTTATTATGGTTATTAAATATTTGGTGGAATACATAGCTTTTCCTTTAAATTGAGGTGAGTTCTTTGGGTTTGTCTTCTTCGATTGTAGTTTTTTTTTCTGATGATTGGTTTATTCAAGAACTCCATATAGTTTGCCTTTTGATACTTCTAATTCCAAAAACTGACTAATTGTATTGTTTTTCTTAGTAGATCCCAGAGATTCTGTCTCTGATCAAAGTACAATTTGAGATAATGTTGTCACTTTCTAAAATAATCAGAAAAGCAATTTTATCATCTTCTTCTCCTCAGGCAAGGTATTATCTCTTTATTTAAGTCAAATAACCTTATTTCTCATGAACTTTCTCCTATTATTCTTGACTCCAGGGATCTGTTGACTACATTCCAGCAATTATGGTTCAAGTAGTTATTTTTTCATGTAATATGATTTGGAATTCAGCTTGTGTTTATTTTAATTGGGAATTTTATGATTGTAAAATTTATTAACTTAGAATTTTGTACTTCATCGAAACTAAAAAAGAAAATTAATCATGCTACATAGTACTAAGATGTCATTTGCACTCTATTTGCTTTCCATGTTATGATTTCGTTCTTGTATTATACTGTTTATATAGTTTCAATTACAAAAAATTTGCTTTTTTGTGCTATCTAAAAGAATTTGTAGTGGAACTTGATGAATTTAAATGCTTTAGCTACAGCACCATTTTGATTGCATTGTATTAATTCATTTACTCATAATTGTATATTGTACAATGATAAATAATGTTTATTGATTTGATTGAAGCAACTATTATCCATAATTCAAACGAGTCAATTAAGTAGAGATGTTATATTGAATACTTATACAAGTAAACATTGGAAAATATCATTAAGCAGTCTCTACCTATAGTTTGCAATTCGAATTCATATAAGGAATTTCTTTTGATTTTAGTTACCATTTTCTACAATTTCAAATTTAGAAAATATTATTTGCACCAATTTTTTATAATCAAGATAGTTTCAATTCAGATCTTTAACAATTATGCAGATTTGAACTTATTTATGAGATTATAAAGAAATGCCCCTAGCAAAAAACACCAAATCTGAATAGTTTCTACAAAACTTTGAAAAAGACCACTTAAGTTTCTTATCTATCTATCATTTTTGGACATTATTATCTCTGTAAGAAACATGTGATTAAGTCGTATCATACCCACCAAATTATATAAATAGTTAGTCAAAAATAAAATTATTTTAGATTAGATTGGACGCAAAGTGATTGATGGATAAACTTGACTTGATAATTCAGGTTGAACTTAAGTCGAGGAAGAAATCAGAAGCATTGCTTGAGGGATCTTTCACAAACATATATAGATTCGAGACATGAAAGGTCCAATTGATACTTTAAAATGTTTTATTATCTTGGATAAGTTTCTGAAGAGACCTTTGGATACTTTTCAATTGCACTTCAAACATTCTTACATTTTCAAACTACCTTTATCTTTGCAGTTGAAATTCAAACATAACCTTTGATCACAACGGATTCTTATATAGTATAACGATAAGGATGTCTCATTGCACATTATTTTTATTGACTCACTATGTAACTTATAATTTTTCTATTAAAATCACATGATAAAATCATCATACTTCAGTTCCTATACTACAAAATATTAAACAATAATTATTAATTATCTTGAATCACAAGCACCAAATTCCCGCGCGTCGCGTGGGCTGTCCCTCCCTATATATATATATATATATATATATATATATATATATATATATATATATATATATATATATATATATATATATATATACAGTATGATTGGTTTGTACGTCACTTGTATATCATGTGTCATAAGCAAGAATCATATAGGAATATTCTTGTACCATACGTACATTACTCACTGTTTCTTCTTTTACATCATTAAACACCAGTTGGATGACCATTTCATTTTTGAAGATACAGATAAAATCGTTGACTGGGTCTACATGAGGAATTTTTTTTTTAAGAAAAAAATTCCATTCTTGGCCCTTGTTGTCGACTTCTGTCTTGTAAAATGTCTATAAATAATTGTCTTGTGAAGATTTATAGCAGAGCAAACATTGATTCGTTTCGCGCACGATAGAAGATAGGATAGAATAGAAGTGTTTTAGTAGCTAGTAGGATACAAAGAACTAACCAGATCCTGATCTGTCGTAGGAACAGAAGTGTTCTTTAGCTAGCTAAGGAGAACTTCTCGAGAGGAAAGATTCATACCGATCCATTCCACTGATATATATATATGGCTTCTTTCATTGGCAGCTTCGTGCCAAAGAACTTGCTAAGGGTGCTCAGCCCCGCCGGTCCTCAGCGAGTTGGAAGAAGTATAATCATGTAAGGCTTTCTTTGTTTTCAGTTCGCCTGATTGGAAAAGTTCAGATTAATTAGATAATTTATTCATTCTATTTATTTTGTTGCAGTAACTGCATGCATGCATGCATTCATTCACACCTCATCCTTTGTTTCTCTTTGTTCTGCTACTGGTTATAGATGCATATGGACTCTATCTAGATTAGCCATGGATACCCATATGTTCTTTTACATAGTGGCTTGATTTACATACAATATCTACTATATGCTAACTCAGTATCATATTTGTTCTTATTTATCAGAAGGTGTGCCGGCAACAGTACTGCTCGAGATAATAAGCCACCAAGGCAAAAGATCAAGACCAAAGACCCACAGACAAATGCCGTCCCAACTGCAAAAAACAGGACAATTCAGACGGATAAGAGCAGTAAACAGGCAAGCAGCAAGTGATGAATCAGCTATATGAAGTTGAAAGAGTTGCTTTATCAAGATTGTAACTATAATAAGTAGAGTTGTTCTGGCTTGTTATGAATTAGTACGAAAGATAGCTATGTTTTTATTTGGGGGGGAGAGGGGGGGGGGGGTACAATAAAGAAAAGAAAAGAGGAGACAGTTTGGATCGATGAAAGAAAGCTGTGAACTCTTTCCATTTTCTTGTTTTCATTTTCTTTTTTCTTTTTTCTTTTTTATATGGGTGAAGTTTTGTGTGAGATTTTGTAATGTTGGATCAAAAGCTCTTTCAATGCTATAAGTTTACTACCATGCAATTCGCAGAATTTATTTGCTTGGGGCAGTATGAATGGATTCGACCCTTGAAAGTGGAAATGTAACTGGTTTTAGATTACCCTTTCTATTGAATTGTAAATTCCAAAGCAAACAATTAGTTCCATGTTGCAGTAATTAATCTGCTAATTTGATTTAATAGAATGACAAATTGATAATTAAACGTATTGCTGTTAGTGATATTGGGAAGATCAGTGCCAACTCGATCTGAACTCATGCAATTAGTTTTGGTCTCTGAAGTTTTTTTTTTTTCTTCCCTTTCGTACTTTTTATTGCATTTTCTTATTCAATTCATCACTTTATTGACAGATTAAAAAAAAAATTGAGAATCCAGATGTTCACAGAGTCAACGAACACATGCAATCTCGATAGTTTCATGCTACTGAAGATGAATTTCCATAGCTGCTGATTCTTTTTTCTCAGAAAACTATAAAGAGGCATATAGTTCTTAAGAAATAATTAAGCATAAATTCTATATGCTTGACTGAGGAATTTGATGAAGGATTTTTTTTTTTAGATGCTGGGGATGGTCATAGACCTTTACATTGGATTTTTTTGATGAAAGAATGTGACAAAGGATTCGAAATCCACTCAAATTACTTTACTAGTGTGAATTTTTTAAGAGGCATTCGAGTTTGTAATTCACAAATTATCAAAAAATATTCTCAAAATTAGAATAATTAGTGATTTATAAATTTAAATACCTTCTAAATAATCTAAACAATGAGAGGAATTTGATAAAAGATTCCAAATCCATTCAAAACAGTTTAACAGTACTTTGAATTGCTTAAGAAGCATATGAATTTGTAATTCACCTATTATACCAAAAAATAATTTAAATACTAGAATAATTAGTGATTTTTAAATTTAAATACATTTTAAGTAATCTAAACAACCAATTGGAGGGATTTAAAAGAATTTCAAATCTTTCGTGAAATCTCTCGACGCAACCAGAGATAATCTTCTACCTCATGTTAAATGTTATCCATTGCAACCCTACCAACGTGCAATTCTGCATCTGAACTACTCCGTTGGCTTTTGCTATTTGTTGTTTATGGCTTTTCGGTATCTGCGGGCTCCTTGAGGCCACCCCACTATTCAATGATGTGCTGGTGAAGTGAATGGCCAAAAATATGCTAGTCTCAGCATTTGATCTAGGGATAATTTCAGAAACCTCGCCTGAGGTTTCTAATAATTTCACTTGGCTCTCTTAAGGTTTCAAAAATTACACCTACCTTCCTTGTCTATTAAAAATGACAATACTAACGTTAATATTTCAATAAAACTCTCTTGTTGCCATGTTTATACAAAGAATGTATTTTATAATTTTTTCCCTTTTTCCTTCATATTCATTTCTTTAATATTTCATTAAAATTATCAATGGTATCCCTAATATCTATCTCGATTAAACGTTAAACGAGTAATTTTTTTGACAACTTTTAATATCATCTAATTTTTAGTAGCTCTTTTTTGTATCAAAATCAAGAATAATTAAAAATAAATGGCCCCGAATCACTACCAAACTATGGTAGTTCTATCGCAAAACTAGTTCATAAACTTTTATTAAAAAAAAATAGTCCATAAACTTCTATTTAAAAAAAAAAAGATAGCACTTTTTTCTTTATCTTAAAAAGAATCTATATCCCTAATAAAGCACTATAAACAATAGCCTATTATATCAAAAGATTTATTGTTATATTTGATTATCAATTAATAAATATTGGCATGAAAAACTTGAGACTCTTTTTCTTTTATAATTGTACCAAATTACTTTACAATTGTTTAGAAGAATAAATTAAACTTTATAAGATAAGGGTATTTTAGGGTTTGCACTTAAATTTTTGACTCTATTTTAACGTTTGGTTACCAAAGTGTCAAATCAAGGGAGGTAAGCGTAATTTTTAAAACTTCAAGGAAACTAAGTGAAATAGTCAAAATCCTCAGGCGAGGTTTCCGAAATTATCCCTTTGATCTATGCACTAATACACCTAATTCTCTTCATCATGTCTCTTAGCAATCCAAACCCATGCTATAGTTTTCGAATAATTGCACGTATACATACTACCAAACTTGCCTTTCTATATTTTTTATTACATAACCCCAAAAAAACAAAATAAACAACAGACAATTGGCTGTTACTAAAGTTGAAGAGCGAAAACTACAGAGAAAGAAGTTCCATCAGGCGTCAAAAACTGGTCTGTCGTCTTCATTGAATGATGATGTTCCTCGTCATTATTGATGGTGCAATTATTGTATGTATTTACATTCATTCATTATGATATAATATGCATCAAATCTTGATCGACTCCTCAAACACGTCAAGGTGTTCGTTTCAAGGCAGCAAGATAAGTTTGTTTATTCACTAATTGCTTGCTTTAAGATGTAAGAGTATCACAAAAAGAAGCGTCAAACTATATCCCATATTTACCATTTTCCTTCTCAACTGAAGAAAAAAAAAACAGAAGAAGAAGAAGATATGCAAAATAGATGATCAGGAATTAAAATAAACTTGAAAGCAAGAAGATGAAATTACCGACTTTCTTTAAAGTATACTTTAAAAAATCTTTTTGGGAAAGTTCAATTGAACTTGGTGTTGATTTTCTTGTGTTCACAAAGCCAAAAGCTAGTGCAATTTTTTGCTTGGCAAATGGAGCCAAAATTGTTGCCTTCTTCTGCCTTTCCTCTGAGTTTGGGTCTTCGGTCTTCTCTGGAATCTTGATCAAGTGTCTGTCCAAACCATTGAGGATGACCACGACTACTTATCAGTGGCTAGGGTTCCAGTCATGATACTGATGTTTAAGTCTTTCCGTGATCAAACTTTGCTCTTTAGTGCGCACGATTTTGTTGAACGCAAAAAAGACCTTCGTCGTGGTTCCTTGAGAGTTCATACTCCACGATTATCGAGGTGCCCTATATAGAAAAGGAGGAGCCAGAACCTGTTAGGATAAATTTTTAGATCCAATTTTGGTTCTTGACTTATATATTGGGACTCTTTCGAAGCGTTTCTCTCTGAGTTAACAACCTTTTTTTTAGAAAATTCTTCCTAATTTTTACCACAAAAGATAACAGCAATTGGAGTAAGTGCAGCCTTTGATAATCGATATATTCTCTTGGCTATTCTGATCATGGAAAGGGGTATGTTGCTGATCTTATAAAATTTCTCACTGCGTTAAATTTAATTGTTCACCATTGAAGTTGCCTCACTTTCACTTATGTACTTTTCTTTCAGCTTCAATACCTTATTTCAACTTGCATATATAATTGAGGTGAAATCACCCTCGCTGATTATGTAAGAGCAGATACGTATGGCATATGATGCAAGATACTTGACGTAATATATGACGTAGGATCTACCAATATGATTCTGAGAGATATTGGGAAAAATTTAGCAATAAAACTGGTATAAATTCAACCCAACCCAACCCAACATAGAGAAGTGAACACTTTTCTGGTTATGATATGGTAGAAAAATGGTTTTACCAAAATAGGACTAGTATCATTGTCAGGATTCAAACCTCTTCATCCACAATAAATGAATAAAATCCTAAAGATGTATAGTAGCACCCTTTTGATTTAGAAGTGAGAACCGCTCCATCTAATTCTCTTTGATTCCAGATATTGGTTTTTCTCCCAGATAGGTCACAATGGGAGTAAGAGTAGTATAGGAATTAATTAGAAAAAAAAAAAATCTGATTATGGGTCATTGGTTGCTGGTACAGCAGTGTAAATAGTCTAGTATCGTTGCTAAAAAAAATAAAAAAAGGAAGATAGACTCTTTTTTTTTTTTTTATCGATCAATCATATCTAGACACCCACAGGAATACGAAGCCGCTAGTAAAGTTCTTAGTATTGACCCAAATTAAAAAGTTTCTTACCGTTGAAAGTCAAGTACCACTTCATCTTTTCCCAATTTTAAACGAACTATTTATAAATTTATAATTAAATTTGTCGCCCCTTTTTTTTTTGGGACACGATAGATCTACACTTATTCTATACTAAGGGAAAAGAAGACTTGAAGAGATCCAAGGAGATGGGTGCGTACGACATTTTCAAGAAAGTTTGGATTTTTAAAATGTAGGTAAAGGGATTTTGATCCCTTAACTTACATGCAAATAGAGATTTAAAACTCTTTCGGTGACAGACTACTCTAGGAGTAGTTGGTTGAGAGCAAACACTTACTGAGGGAGGCAAATTTAGTAGTGTTGAAATATGATCAACGAGTAGCATATATCTTGAATAATTCATGACCATAACTAGGCCAATTCACCTATTTAATTACAAGCAAATCATAAGCCATTTTCTTTAATGCGTCGTATGATCACCATTTCAAGGGGAAGGAATAAGGTGCTACCATCGGAATTACATATATATTACTTGAAGAAAGACTTTTAGCTACTTAATTTGAATACATATTTACTCTTGAAGAGTGTTGAAGATACAATTAATCCACTTACAACAAATTCTAACTACTAATGTTGTTAGAATTTTGGCTTCGGAAATATCTTCAACAAATGTTTGGACTGATTAAAAAATTACTATCAACACTGTAACATAAGTGCCATCAATACCAAAGTGGGAGACCAAAACACAAAAGCAATTCTCTTTTGGACCTAATTGTAAATGATTACTTAACCGCAATTATTTCTACCATAATGGGGTTATTTTTAAGTCACGTAGGATCTTCAGTACCACTTTTCTAGTGACAAATCAGTGCCACTTATATATTTATACCAACCGTTCTGTTTATTTAATTTATCATG